GAGTACTATGAATTGAGATGGGAAGGCTGAGTGAGCGGTGGTGGTGGTGTGGAGTAACCGGATTGTTATATATATATATATATATATATATATATATATATATATATATATATATATATATATATATTCTTCTTCTTATTATTATTATTACTAATATTATTATTAATATTAATTATACATATTATCCTTCCTTTTGTGCGCTGTATTAAATTGTGGTTAATATGTAAGTTTATTGATTTATACTAAATAGCTCTGTTATATTACATCGAGAATTGTTTTATTAACACCAGCACTTTATATATATATATATATATATATATATATATATATATATATTGTTGATGGAACATTTCTTCAATGATTATATTCTTGGCATTATTATTCAAACATCAAGCTAGTACATATTGACTTTAATCCTTTTGAAACTTCATTGAACATTCGACCATAAAGAAAATGTTTGGAATGAGATTCGATGAATTATTTTGGGAGATTTTTCGATATCGTGAAAATGCTCAAACCGTTGATCTGTCCAAGAATATTCAATAAATACACCCACGTGACTGTTTCAAGAATACGGGTTTGCACCGCAAACAACTGATGGGAAAAAAAGTCTTCCAACCAAGAGCAATAATTAATTGTAACGCCACAATTTCAAAAGGAATCTTCTCTATCCAGCAGTAAACTAAACGAGTTACTTAGTGGCTGTCAAGTGTCATTTCTTTTCCATTGCGTATATTCAAATACGTAAATTGGTATCTGACTATGTATAATAACTTTTTTTTACATTGTCACAAATGATAATATTTTAAACCCTCACAAGTTAGAAAATTCTCCTACAGTAAATTCAATTGATGCTTAATATCTCAAAGGTTGTTCTGTATATACCATCGATTTTTTTCATAATTCTCGTAATAAAAGCATTTCTTTTGTGCAGTGAGCGTCTTGTCAAAAGCAAAAATTGTAGTCAATGCTTAAATTTTGAAAGATGATCATATCCGTAACTAGATATTGTGAAAAACTTATTAACTGCATATGATAGAAAATATCATTAAGTATAAATAACACGGTGCTTTCATTAACTGAATAGTAATGGCCTTTAGAAGAGCAATCCAGGGTTTTGTATTCAGAGCACTCCTACTTTGAGACAGGTTGCCAGCAAAGACGTCTATTTAACCCATAGCTGGAGGGATTGATAGATTTATACCTGCACCAAGGATATTTGTGCTAAGGTGAATTTAACGAAACTCAACTGAAATGTCAACTTGGCTATCAGATTTCTTATTCCGAATCAAGATCCACTAGGCCACCCGTATATCTTCAATAACGAATTCAATAAATATTAATACATTTTCCCTGTAGTGTGCAGAGGGAGTCTAATATACAAAATGCGGTTAAAGAAAAAAATGGCTTAATTTGAAGAACGTTCAGCTTTTAGTTTACTTTTAGTTTATTATAAAATATAAGGATGGCAATTTTTAAAAGACGGGCATTTTGTTGAATAACATTATGCATACACAGACACTCACACGCACACACACAAATACACACACGTATACACACACACACAGATACACACACACACGCACACACACACATATATGTATGTATGTATGTATGTATGTATGTATGTATAAAAGCAAAATAAAATTCGTTGATGGAACTAATGGCCAACTTAACATAAGTTCAGTATCCGGTTAAGGCAGTGGTGAACTTTCAGAGGGGAATTAACAGGAGATAACTGATAACTGACATCCATTAAACATGGTACGTGGAACTAGAACAATCTACCTCAGTGAGCGAAATAAAGGTTTCCGTTCGACATTCCAACCACCTGAAGAACGCCGGAGCGTACAACGGCCGAAGCGTTGTAATAAATATAGCGGACAATAGTCCGAATAATGTAAATAATGTAAAAAAATTATAAAATGATAAAAATATAAAATTATATAAAAATATATGATTTAAAAATGATAAAAATATAAAATGATATATAAAATGATAAAAAATATAATATGATATAAAATGATAAATATGATAATAATATAAAATGATATAAAAACTATATGATATAAGAAATGATAAAAATATAAAATGATAAAAATATAATATGATATAAAAAATGATAAAATGATAAAAATATAAAATGATATATAAAATGATAAAAATATAATATATAAAAATGATAAACATATAAAATGATATATAAAATGATAAAAATGATAAAAATATTAAATGATAAAAAATGATAAAAATATAGTGATAATAATAAATGATAAAAATGATATAAAAAATGATAAAAATTATAAAATTGTAAAATGTTATAAAAATGGCCTACAGTCTGTTGTTCACTGGGACAAGAATCGCCATTTGAATTTAACGCCCCCAAAGCGAAACTTCTCAATTAATCATCCGTTAGACAGTTTTCTCTCCCCTATAGCAGAAGCTAACATTCAGAGCAATGACTTGTTATGCCTTCTCGGACAGGAATTCTCAGCTGACATGAAATGAAAACATTATATGGAATCCATTACAAGGTCTGAAGCTCAGAAAGTTGTTTCACTGCGTCGCGCTAAACCAATTTTCCTCTCTATAATCTATCTTATATTCGTCCATGTTTTGAATATCGCTTCCACATATGCTTTGTGGTTCCTGATATATATTTAGAGATTCTTGATAAAATCCAAAGAAAAATTACTAATATGATCCATGTTGACCTGACGTCTCAGTTTCGGTGTCTTTCCCAACTTCATAATGTGATGTCACTCTGCCTTTTCATTTTTTTTAAAATAATTTCATGTTCGGATTAATTCTTCACTATAGTACATAAATTTATGAATTTGTAATACACACATTGCATCATATTTATATCACGCCCAGGCACTATTGTCTCGACTGTTGGTTAATTGTTCTACGGCCATTGTCTGTGATGGACGTTACTCAAAGGAAGCGTACGTAAATTGTAACTCTGCACGAACACACTGGCAAGCCTTAACATTGAGCAAATCAAAGTAGCATAGACTGGTTCTGAAACTCTCCTGATTTAAATTCAATCGAGAATCTGTAGTCAGTCTGCAAGGAACGACGTCGTGGAATGCACATTCGAAGGACTAGCATGTGTATTGTGTCGTGTTTCATAGGAAAAATACGAAAAAAGTAGGTAATAAAAGATTTATTCATTTGGTTTCAATTAATTTGAACAAGGGTGTATATATAATATATCGCACATGCATTGCTGGTGTTAATAAAACAGTGCTCCATGTAATGTAATCTATTTAGTACTAGCAGTAGAGCCCGGGGTTGCCCGGTGATGTAACAGTAAGAGATAGATCAAGTATAGACCCTCATAAAGACTGAAAAATAAAATTGACAAAGATTATTGTTTAATGTTGACGGACACGCATGTCTTAATTAGTTTTTTTTTTCAAGCCGGGATCGAAACTGGGACGATTTGACATCAATCAGAGACCCTTATATCTACGCACGACAGAAAAAAAAATTGACGCATTATATAAGAGATATATCTAAACGCCATACCGGACTCCACTGCACTCAATTCTTACGAAAAGCCATCGACCTCGATAATGTTTGTTTACATGACAATTATATATATATATATATATATATATATATATATATATATATATATATATATATATATATATATATATATATATATATATATAAATGAAAAAAAAGTTGTTTAATGTATTTAATCAAATCAACAGTAAAGAAAATATTCCTTCCTGAACAGAAATTTTCTATACTAAATTTTAAAATTGTCCTATTGTCGCATTAGTTATTGTTGGTAATATATGCATGTAAGTTAATCTTGTAATCTTCAACGTGCAGGTAAATAAAAGAAAGTAATATGAATAGTTTAGGAACGATACGTGTCTTCGCTCTTCTCTGCTGAGTTTTGCATCATATTCTATGCGGCTATAAGGAAATTGTTGTTATATTTTGGCCGGTTCATATATTTCCTAATGGCACTTATCGAAAGAGAAATGCATAAAATACCCAGCATCAAAGAGACCGCTTTTGAGAGGGAACAGGAAGTCAAGCAAATAAAAACATGATTAGATCACCCTAAAGGAATCCAGGGACTCTATGATCGAAAACAAAGAGAGGACACGTATGATTACCTTCTACACAAACCATCTCATTTACCTTCAAGCTTACAAGTGTAGACAGTTAATAAACATGATTATTTACCTTGATTTTCAGTAGTTCACAACTCGCCAAAGAAATACTGCTTTTATTCCACGGGCAATGTTGATGTGCCAGCATCAAATAAGAATTCGGCGGCAGAAGATTTGTTTAAATTTGTGCCTAATTTTGTGCCTAAATGAAAAAAACAACATCTATATTCCTTTCGCGAAATCTCCCTGAAAGATACTGAAAAAATTCGGATTTCTTTCTTTTTTCTTTCTTTATTTCTTTCTTTCTTTCTTTCTTTCTTTCTTTCTTTCTTTCTAATAGTTGACGTTCTAAAATCATTTATCTGAAAGACTTATTGTAAAACGCATAAACATCTAGAAAAGGAAAGGTTATTTGTGAACTTTTTCTAGGTAATCCTCTGGCAAAAGAAAGTCTTTTGAGACTACCCTCGTACAATTCACATGATTTGACAGGCAAAGTGGTTGGTGAGAATTAATTTATAAATGCTTTAAGCACTGTCGTGATTGGTGTACCAGATAACAGAAGTAAAGTGGACTGCACTAAAATACGTTAAGAATTTATTACAAACTATGAGAAGGAAACCTACTTTTTTATGAAAACTACTTCAAAGTGATTCATAAACTGATTTTCGGAGTGGAAGACGCAGGTACATTTAATCTCCCAAGTCATACCTGGCCAAATTTAATTTAGAATTGCATAAATTCTTCAGAACTCGAAAAATGGTCAGTACTAACCAGCATTCAACTGGTCTTAATGGTATATTTTACCTAAGGAAGTGGACAGAGACAGAAAATATTGGGAGTGATAGAGAAATAGAGAAATTATTGGAGAGAGAGAGAGAGAGATAGAGATAGAGAGAAACAGAAAAAATATTGAGAGAGAGAAAACTGAAAGACAGCGAGAGAGAAAATATTAAGAGAGAGAGAGAGAGAGAGACATAAAATATTGAGAGAGAAATTCTTGAGAAAGAGAGACAGAAAATATTGAGAGAAAGGGAGAGAGAGAGGAAGACAGAAAATGTTGAGAGAGAGAGAAAAAATATTGGAGGGAGAGAGAGTGAGAAACATAAAATTTTGAGAGAGAGAGACAGAAAATATTGAGAGAGAGAAAATGTTGAGAGAGAGAAAATATTGAGGGAGACAAAAATTGAGAGACAGCGAGTGAGAAAATATTGAGAGAGAGAGAGAGAGAGAGAGAGAGAGAGAGCGACAGAAAATATTGAGGGAGATATAAAATATTAAGAGAGAGAGAGACAGAAAATAATCAGAGATAGAGACAGAAAATATTGAAAGAAGGGGAGAGACAGAGGAAGACAGAAAATATTGAGAGAAAGAAAATTGAGAGACAGCGAGAGATAAAATATAAAGAGAGACAGAAAATATTGTGAGAGATAAAATATTGAGAAAGTGAAACAGAAAATATTGAGAGAGAGAGTGAGAGAGAGAGAGAGAGAGAGAGGGGGAAAGACCCCCCCCAAAAAAAAAACAAAAAAAAAAAAAACAAAGATAACTTGAAAAAGAGAAAGAGATAATGAGCCAGTAACGGAGCTATTTGTGTTTTCTTTAAAGTTCTCCGCTAAAAGAATGAACGACGGTTGGGTTCGTCTATAAAATTCAAACGATGCACCCTTATTCTCTAATGTAAAGTCTCCGTGCTTAGAAAACGAACTCAACAAAATGAAATCGTTTCCAATTGAAGCTATTAATATGATTGTCAGATTTAAACCTTTTGTAAAAGGAAAAGTTAACATCCTTTCACCTTAATCTTTAAAACAACCCGTCAAAACATTTCTTTTCAATCCATTGTACATAAAGTAAATTAAAACACTGGAGTTTGATGTGCGCAGAGATAAGAATGACAAAAATATTTTCTTAAAATTTACATTCTTTATTAGAAAAAAATAGGTTATCTCCCCTTAGTTGATAAGATCAACAGATATGGAGATGGGTCCATTTATCAGATAATAATGGGTTAGTCCCCAATTAGGCACTAAATGGAATTTAAGTGCAAAAGCTGAGAGGCATCAAGACGATTGAACTGAACGGACATGTTTCTCGCCTCCTCCAAAAACAGGCGATGCTGACCAGAGAAAACCTGTATAATTCATTGACAAACAGCTTTGGAATGAACATTATGAGCAGAATCAGATAAGTGTTTCGATCAATTTCAAACACATGCATGTATTTGGATTTCGTCCCAATCCCATGACTTTAACTGCTGAAGGACTACGTTTTAACGTCTAAAAGAATATGTTTATTCCTCTATTCTTATTTTCATTAAATAACGTACTTCATTTATAAAGTATTATCTTTAAACTGTTCAATTTTATCGTCTTTGTGCATCTGCCACGATTCAGTTTGGCAAGTCGCTACATTTCCCACATCATTTTCATTTCTTGATCATAATTGTTTCATGTTTACTTACGAACACTGAAGTTAAGTAATTATTAAGTTACTATGACCACGAAAGAAACTTACAATCTAATAATATTTTCTGGCTTTAAATAACCTATATTGTGTTAATACGAATGAATTTAATGTTAACTGTTTGGAAAATTTTGCAATATGACGTTTGATATATATTTTAAGTCGATTGCCCAACTGTTATTGTTTTTTAAAATTTACTAAGATTTTCGGTTTTATGAATAAACATATAGAAATACTAACAAAAAGAAATAAAAAAAAATTGCGAGTTGTCAAGATTAGTCGCGTTTCATTTGATTAAATTCCAGCGAGACGCTGAAAATATAGTAAACAAATTACTGGCTAATTTTTTTAGAACCCCTATAAATTCAGCGATCAATTTGTACCCCTCAAGGAATTCCCCCTCTAAGAAGGGAATATCTGTTTTGACTGAAATCAAAGAAGCGGGAAATAGCTGGCTTATTTACACACATTATATTTGAATGGTTTCAGTTACATTTGAATGTTTTCCTTTGCCGTTCTTCTGAAATATAACGTTTACAATTTTTGTAGACTTCATTGTTTGCACAGAAAACCTTTTCTATATTTAGAAAATTGGTAAATTTATAAAATCAAACCTGAATTTTTAGGTATTATTTCCTTAGTATTTATTTCAAAATTTAAGTGACTTTGGGAAAACTCTAACCTTTTCAAAGAAAGTATAGCAAAAAACACATAATATTCTGTATATATAGATGGGTTTTCTTTCCATTACATCCATATGGATTTTGTTTAATGTTGGAAATAAATGACCCGATTTTTGACGTGTTTTTTGTTCAATTTTAAGCAAGGCATATACAATATATATTTCTCGTTTATGTGAATAGTAAAGGAATAAATTTAACGCGCCATAGTTATCTTGAATATAAAACTGATGGGATCATAAAAATGTAAAGATTTCTACACTGGACTTCCAAAATTTTAGCTTCGAACATCATATGTTTGATGATTAATTCATGGATCAATGTGGGTCATGAACCATTTTAGAAGCGTAAAATGTGAACAGTTACGATATTTACTTCAGTGCACGATGGAACACTGGATATTGGCACAAGAGGCACGGTGGGGTAATGGATAGCGGCTCGGATTGAGGAATCGGAAAGTCGAGTTCGAATTCCAGTCGAATCCATTACATGCTAATACCCTTGGGGAAGGTATGAATCCTCTTCCAACCCAGCAGCTATCGGTAAATATCAGACAGGCCTTGGATGGCAGAAAGAAATATAAACTTTCCTGCGGGGAAAAAAAACAAAAAAAAAAATGCCTAGTCAGTCATGTATCGAAAGATACATGATCGCCTACGTATGGCATTTAACTGACCGGCTTCAGATCCAAAATAACGCTGTGACAGAACAATGTTCTGCAAGACAATTATTATTAACAAATTTAGGTTTTCTATAAAAAAAGCATTTCATTGCCTCATTGAACGGCTTAGTTTATAAAAAAACTAATAAAGATACATTATGCTATATTATAGCAGTTTATGAAAATATACGGTTATTCACAAATCTAGAACAGACAACTATCATACATGATTGTAATAATATGTTAAACTAGACCAAAAGAACCGATGAATACAAGTTAGGTTTAACAGTACTAGTTTTATATACAAACACAATATGTTAAACCTCGCAAAAATTTACCAATGTTATTTCTTAACAGAAAGTCTTCACGCAATGGCAGAAGATGTGTAAAGTTTTAATTATTTATGATACGAGATTATAATTTTCTTTGCATCAAAACGTCAAAGAATTAAAGTAAATTTCTAGGTTTTCACTAAAGAAGTATCCTGTAACATGTTGATACCTCTCTCTTTCTTTCTCTCTCTCTCTCTCCAATTTTTAGATTGGTTATTGTAGTCTAGTCTAACGGTTGTTTTGGCGGGATTAGTTTGTTAATTTTTTTATTATTATTTACTTTATTTAATTGGGTTGATTATTTTTTACTTGCTTTTATGTATACTATTTATATTTTTATTTATTCTCTTTCGTCTATTTGAACGGGTGTGTTTTTTTAATTTGTTTATTATTTGTTTGGGTTAATTTATTTAACTAGCTTTGTTTATTTGTATTTATTCATTTCAGTTTTCGATTTTTAAGTAACGTAGTAAAAATTTTCATATCTGCATTTTGAGATGAGCTCAGATCGCTTATTTAGTAATTTATATTGGTCTGGGAAGGTAATAATAACTCTATTTTTTCCTTCAAGCAAACTTTGCAGGTTTTTGATTGATTGTTATAGGCTGATGATCTTAACCATGATATTTTGGGGTGATTTGTGCTTTGTTTTTAATTTCCCAGGTATACTTGGAAAGCATTGTGCTGTTTGCGTATTTACTATTTGTAAAATATGTTTTGTGTGCATAGTTTCTTTGTTTCCAGTGTCCTTCAGTTACTCTATGTATACTTTTTCTTCATTATCTGGTGGTTTACCGTGGCTTGGTATAATATGTTGTTTTGTAAGCAATTACCGTTTAAGGGACATTCATTCTTTATTCTACAGTTACACGTGGGTTTAATTTGTTCGGGTGGTTTGTTGATAGTTTTCCTGTTGTGCTTTTTTTTACTTGTGCCATGTTCTCGGTGCAACTGTAGCTGATTTTTACAGTGTTTCTATTGAATATTTTGTGTACAATGTTTGATTCCGGGAATTTTTTTTAAGAGTTTGAAGAATATTTTACCTACGTTTGTTTTTACGTTTTTGCTGTACGTTGGGTTGAACCATATGATATATCTCTTCATGTTGGACTTTCCTTTGCTCTATGGTGAGTATATGAGTGTTGCCGCGAATCCACTATCTTTTAGAGCTGTTTCGTAATTTTTCTTACTTTCGTTAAATATGGTTTTATTGCAAGAATTGTCGGATATCTGTTTGATTATCGAAAGCGGGTGATTGGAGGATGTGTGTATATACAATTGTTTATCATTGGGTTTTATGTATGGATTATATGTGCCTTTTCTTATGTTGAAGGTAACACCTAGAAAATCTACTTCGTTTAGGTTAGTTTTTTTATTTATGTCAAATCCGTTATTTTTTTAAAATCCTTATTCCTTTTCAAGATTTGTCTCTGTTTTCTTTGTTGTAGATTGTTAAGATTCTGAGACCGTCGTCTATGTAGAGTCCTGTATCATTTTTATCTATTACTTCGCTTAGTTCCGGTAGCTTATATATACCTATGATTTCGCAGGTCCTAGCACTGTCAGAGCTTCCCATTGTAGCGTCAAAGATCCCTTCTTTCTTTATCCATGAATCTACATTGTGGAATAATACACGTCGAGGACAACATCACTCAGAAAACAGTCTGCCTTCCTTATGAGAAGGGGTTTCCAAGGAAAATACAAACGATCTGCGGTCCATATAACATCAGGACATCTTTCAAAATCTGGACGACACTTCGCAGATATCTCTCCCGAATAAGACCCCTCATATAGACTGTGTGTACGCTAGCCTGTACAGTGGAAGTGGAAAAATCAGGCGTGGCTGACCACATATGGAGAGAAAAGGGAGATCACCGCCCTCTGTGGGATCAGGTTTCGATCATAGACAAAGAACACCATTGGAAATTCATAAACTTAAGGAATCAGCACATATGCTAAGCCACAAAAATCTCCTGAGCTGACCAAGCATAGAAATGAATACAATATGGGAACCAGTAATAAGGAGTGTCAGAGAAAACCGATAATAACAACAGAAATTGCAATATGAGCACCTGTTAAAAATGGTTGCTGAGACATTAGGTTTATAATACCCAGAAATTCATACACAGGCACATGGCACAGTAGATAAATGCGTTGGTTAGATCCAGTGACAGGACCCAAACAGTGTGAATTCAAACTTGCAGAGCGGAATTAACAGGAGATAACTGATAACTGACATCCATTAATCATGGCACGTGGAACGAGAGAAGTCTACCCCAGTGAGCGAAATAGAGGGTTCAGTTCGACATTCAACCACTGGAAGAAGGCCAGAGCGTACACCGGCCGAAACGTTATATGGCGACAAAGATAAGGACAATAGTCCGAATAAAATAAACCTAAAATACTCATATGACTTTAGTATTAATAATAGAATCCTATTTGTCGATATTTACATAGAACACAATACTAATGAATTTAAAACGTCCTTTCATAAAAATCAACCGACAAGAATTCCTGCTAAAATATTATAATAATGAATGCCCACAAAGATATAAATCCTTAAAAGAGCTCACCTAATATCCTCTCGCTTGAAAATATTAATAACACACATTATTAACTATAAATAACTAAATATTATATAACTATAATATCAATAAATTAATAAGATTATTCCTACTGAAAATGAACAGCAAGAAAATAAAATAAATTACTGCATAACAAAATATAAATATCTTTTACTGCCAGCAGTATTATAAACAAGGCAAATTCGATTTCTAAAACAATACATTTAACTGTCGATCCGAGCAAACATGTAAAACTTACAATATAAAAAAAAAACTACCAATCTCTTAATTGCCCATAACACGCCCATAAAATACAAACTTCAGACCACCAATGTCGTTACCCCGTAAAAAACTGTGATTCTTTTAATAAATAAGATAACGACATCGGTCAGACTACGATGTGATTAAATCGTAAACTTACAAACTTAAGCAATTTGAGCTCGACAAAGACGCACTCCTACACAACTATCAGCTTTTGCAAGAAAATAAGAATATTCAATTTCAAAAGATCTCTCAAGTTAAGTTAAAGCCTATATATAAATTGGTCAAGTCATGTCCCAGGTTTCCGCTATTTGAAAACGGAAAAATAGCCTCTTGGTGATCTTTTAAAATCACACATAACATGGATTTACAACTACTCCCCTTTCCGAAACACGGCTTAGAATTCTACACAATACAACTTAAATAAGGGAAACATAGAAAAGAGGGGCTAATGAATTGACCGAAAGCCACTTGGCACAATAATCACTACGAAAAGTTTCTACAATCTCTTTGTACAAATAAAAGGAAAACATTATAAAAAAAAAAAGAATTTTCCTAGTCCATCGCATTCAGTAAAACATAGATAGATAGATAGATAGATAGATAGATAGATAGATATAAACGGGCTGAGATAGATATAAACTGAGAAAGGTAGGTAAAAAGTGGCTGAGATAGAAAAAGAACGAAATAGACAGATAGATAGACAGACAGACAGATATAAACTGGCTGAGATAGATATAAATGGGCTGAGATAGATAATCATGTTTCTGTGTATGTTAGATGAAAGCGTTTAAAAGAGACAAAATATTAATTATGTTCTTATTTCATCTATCGCTTATTTTAAATATAATTGTTTCATAGATATTTGTAGTATTATTTTGGGGGGATTTTGATATCTAAAATATAATCATTTTCATTATAATTTCAGATTAAAAATAACACAGTTAATAAAAATGTCCCCCCCTATCTTTTCAAAATGTCAGTTATCTCATTGAAATTGCTATCAGCAGTTTGACAGTAGTTCCTATTTTCTTATGCTCTGTTTCTGGCTTTCTAAATATTACTGGTAGAATCATATCACAGATGATTCAAGACTTTTGAACTTTATGATGAGATTTACAGTGTTTGGTGTTACAGAAGATGGTAGTTATTATATAGAACTCATTCTTTCGTTTCTGATCACATTTGACCAACAATAATTACCTGGTTAAGATTTGAAAATAACTTTCTTTACGTTCACTATGTTTATACTACACTAAACTACGGATATGTGCGGGCGGTGTAAAGGATTGTGGCACTGCATCGAAAATCAGAAACGCGAGTTCGTTATATAGATATACAGTCAAAGACGAAATTTTCACAATATTAATGGTCAATAGCATGTCCTCTCATCTTTTCTGTGTTTTCTGGAATTTTCTTCCATTCTTCAATGGTTACCCGTTCTAATACATGCAGGTTTTTTGCTGGCCGACGATTTATTCGAATTTTCAATTCTTGACATATATTTTCAATAGGATTCAAGTCATGATTCATTGAAGATCAAGGCATAACTGTAATTTTCTTTTTTTGAAGCCACGCAGTCACTGATTTAGACGTATGTTTAGATTTGGTTTGGTTTATTTTGTTTAGCGGTATATCAACCTCAGTGAGTTATTTAATGCCGACAACATTTTTAGGATAGATTCGTATGAATATTCTTTGCTTTAGATCGGTTTATTTTGTTTTACGTCATATCAACCTCAATGGGTTATTTCATGACAAATTTTTATTCCTGGTAATATTTTGTATTGTCAAAAATCTGTTTCTGGTTATATATTTCCATCAAAATTGTATTGCTAGTAATATTTCTTTTCAAAAAGGTATTGCTGGGAATAGTTAACTATTTGCCCATAGCTGGGACCCTAACAGGTGCTACCACCCCAGGCCAGGGTGGACCTGGGAACACCAGCAATCAAGAGGTGGTTCCACGCCCCTCAAAACCACCTGCTGCTGGACATAGTTTAAAGTCTTACCCAGGACGCGGATGTTGTTTAACGTCTTACCCCGTACGCACATATGCTGGAAAGTAAATCGCCGACCTAGATGAAGATTTTTCTTGTGCCAAATATTCTGTGCATCACTATGTCCAAAAAGCTTAATTTTCGTTTCATCACACCTTAGTACTTATTCCAAAAGCAATTTTCTTTTTGCAAGAATGTTTTGGCAAAATTAAACCGAGCAACAATGTGACATTCTCTGTGAAAATGGGTTCGTCGTGGCCGGTTTCCATACAACCCATTTCCATTTCAACAACGATGTATTGTGCGAGCACGTACGCTGATACCGATCGTTTCCAAACATTTGGTGATGTATTTCAAAACAATTCTTGGGTTTATATTAATTTCGAGACAGTTTTCGTGCAGTTCTCGGTGATAGTTTGAATTTCCTTCCACCCTCACGTTAAATTCTCTGTCGTGTCAAACTGTTTAAACTTGTTTATAACGGACTGTACCGTGGATCTAGAGATAGCTAACCAATTTGAAATAACCCTGTTACTATTTCCCGACTTGTGGAAGTTAATAATTCTGATCAAGTTAATGATACGATGCTTTGTCTTCTCCATCGTGTTGTTAACGTAAGTATAACAATGGTAACACTCTATGCACCACATGATGTTCTTACTATTTAATATGAAAATACAGATTCGCGACCCATTCATTCATTAAAATGTACTCAATCAGTACTTAACCATCACCTCTCAATCCTGCATATACCAAAGTACCGCATATTCACAATACTACATAACACTACTTGATATAAAAATCTGAAGAAGAAAGTCCACAATGTTCTTTTTTCCTTTTCTTTTTTTTTAAATATATATAAAAAATTAATATTTAATAAAATGATGGGGAGGGGATTAAACCCGAAAACAAACTAAAAATGTAACACAAAGATAAAACCCAAACTGTCCGCTCCTCAAAATAATAAGAGAGGCCGCTGAATTCCGCCGATAGACAGAATCAAGAAGCACATTTAATAATGGAATGGGGGAATTAAAAGGCTGACCCAGCCAAGATGAAAACCAGGGGACAAAAATAAACTGGGGAGGGTAGGAATCTCGACATGTGTCATAACAATAGATAATGCCGGGAACAGGCCGGAAACAACACTTATTCATGTTAACTAAGAAAATAATGTTTAACTTAACCAGCAGAAGATTTACAGGAAACCGTCCCGTTGCATCAAGGGGACATAAAATACAAAAATAAGGCTAGCCCTACGTCCATACGATCTAGGCTGGCCTCATTCACCCACCTCTCGCTGAAATCTGTTCAAATCAAACGCTTTCGATCAGATCAGATTTTACTCTAAGGTAATGCTTAAAAAAAGAATCAGATCCTGATGCGAATAACGATCATCACGCAAGATTACCTCCTCTTGCGTCGACCACACCACTATTCTTGCCATGGTTAGCAACGTGAAAAAAACCATCCGTTTTAACCCGAAGAATGGAGGCGACATATTGTTACACGCGTACGCGAGATCGATGGACTCGAGCCGAACGGGAGAGATACAAGCCGTCAACTCGCCGACATAATCCCAGAAAGAGTGCATGAGGACAATGATAAAAGGCGTGGGAAGCTCAGGAGGAAATTCGACAACATCCCACGACTACTACGGCACTTAACCCAATAAATGGGAAGAGTGATGGTAAGGTTACGGAAGGCGCCCCTAACATTCCGCGCCAAAATCGAGTCCTCTATCAAAACGCAGCGTAAGAAAGCCAACCCAGACGCTTGGCAATGATTCGCCAGGTGTGGCAATCCCAGCACCTCCATAACACGGACACTTTTGCGACCCTCCCACAAGAGGGAGTTTAACAAATGCTCAATCGCCTCCATACGGGTCATGCAAAGAGCAAGTACAGCCAAGCAGTAAAGGATGAGAGGCAAGACGTAAGTGGCACATATCTCAGCCCTTCATGGACAACCACCTTTGGAGCCAAGTCCAAACCGACGATCTGACCATTCCCTCTACTTCTGCCCACTTCTGCTCGAGCTGAAATCCCGTCCCTAACCACATTCCAAGAATGTGAATGGGTCAATGAGTCTAAGTAAAGGGTCATGTAAACGCGACACCCTTCCATGATAACTTGTTACTTTTGATCTTGTCACCCATCACCTTCTCATACCCTTAAAGCACATTCTCCAACACCTTAATGTTGCTGCAGCACGGCACGAAAATGGACACGTCATCGGTGTATTGGATCGAGCTCTAACAGAGGGAACAACGATTCCGGATAGGGCCGTACTGCCAAAGCGTATAGGGTGGGGCAACAGCGGATAACCCTGTCGGACCGACCGAGACACCACAAAAGCGCCCGACCGCCTTCTGTTCAATTTAAAACGATATTTTTACAGTACTTGGGGAAAGATACAGGAGGATGATTCACTTGCAGATGTCGGGTTCGAATCCGGCGTCCTGCAGGACAGCAGCCAATTATTGATGGTCTAACCTGTGGAACGTCTTGGACTAATCTAAATTAATCAGCGTGGCTCGCTTGTCGTCTTTTACACCCTCTATGATCGTGCGGATCAGATGCAAGTTGCTTTAAATTGTTCGTCCCTTCATAGCACAAATCTGCTCCGGTCCCAACAAGTTCGGGACAACTGACTGCAAACGTTCCGTCAGGATCTTTGCCAAAATCTTTAACTCTGTGTTTAGCAGTGTTATGGGCCTATAATCATCTAAATATCGTCCAACACTTTTTCCCTTTTTCAACAGAGAGATGACCCCTGGAAATTCATAGGGCCAGACCTTCAAGTCTTGAAAACTTGCCACTTCTTCAATGCCAAGCAACCTTTGCCCTTTGTGATCTTATCCTCGCAGCTAGCCGCTTTGGTCTGCTAAATCCGAGGAAATTCAGCTAAATAGCTGCGAAATTCATCGTCACAGAGATCAGATTCCTTGATAAAACGACATTCTTGGCCTAGTAAGAGTCTATGATCCGAATAGTCTAAACGGTGCGATAATCTAGGTCAAACCTTCTCACTAACCTTCTGTCTAGGTAGCTGGCTCCCAGGAGATGGCTAATTACTAGCACACGTCCACATCTCCCGCCCCGGATGATCAACCCAGTATCTATCAACGAACCCAAACTCGCCGATCTGATCAGCCAAGCTACGATCACCAGATTATCTCCCGCTAGCACCCCGCCTCCCCTAAAACATTAATACGGAATTTCTAGCTAAATTGAAATGGAAAATATTTTCCCTGTATTGAAAATAAATATAAATGTGAAGAACATTTCTCCAACATTTTTTATTTATAAATATTTTGAAGAAAGCTAAGATATTTCCCTATATTTTCTTCACAATAATATTATTTCTGAGCACACTCGCTTCTGAGGACTGTCGGTTTTTTCCCAATTAACGCGTGCTTAATAAATATCTACGGACTTTTTAGTTCCTACTTTGACGTTTACATGGCGTTAATCTATGCATAATTTAGTTTTCATTCACATATGTTTACTTTCTCAAAGTTGTTCTTATAAACAAACTAAACGACCAATATTCATTTCTCTGTGTGCGTGCTTCATACGCTTCAGCCCAATCTAATCTAAGGAGATCGAAACCTTTGAAAGAATGAAATGGGGTTGTCTCTCAGGATCTAATATAGTGTTATAAATAATATAAAAGAATGAATATATATCGATTAACTATAAATCTATATTCTAGTTTGTACTAACCTATCGAAAATCAATAAGAAATTGCGATACCAGAG